TACGTTCTATTATTTACGGGGGACGTTTAGTATCAGTGAATCAGGGAGGGATTAAAGCTGAACGAAGCTGCAGCCTGCGGGATCCGAGTGCAGGATGACCTAAGAAGGCACGGCACCGAGCTTTCGATCGTTTCGGATGCCACGTTGATCTAGAGCACCTACCTGACCTACCTTTTCCGCCTATGGATTGTTGAAATCTAGTGAGAAACTTTGAGAAATCTATTGACGTTTTGAATACTGCTTTGCATGAGTTTGTTGCAGCATGTTGCCTAGAAAGACGCAATGGCAAAGTCATTCTACCATGGAGCATTGCAGGTTGCTGATGAAACAGCCCAGGTTGGGTGATGAATGGGGATGAAACATGGAGGCTGCAAAAATAAATGATTGCAACATCCTAAGTACCTATATATGTAACTAGAGTAAGAAGACAAGAGTGATGGCCCTACAACTCACTTGACAGATTGACGTAGGTATACGTAGTATAGGTACAGCATCGTAGGGCAACATGTTCCACATGAATTGTCTCGAAGTGTCTGAGATCAAAGTCTGCCAGGCTGTGACCACAGAAAATGGGCCATGTGACTCCAAACTTTGATGAATCCAACGAATCAGAATCTGACTGAAGAGATGCGGTCCATGTTGATGAACTTCGACCTGGGCAGTTTTGGAAACAAAACGGAGAGATATGAGAGATGTATAAGTGATCCAACGTGAAAAACGAAACAATGTGTCAAAACGGGTTGGATCGTCTATGACATGATGGTCAGGTCTTACGACCCGTGCCGACACAACATGAAACTCAGAGCTGTGGTCAAAGCAAGAACTCATTACAAATCACAACATAAATTACAAATCATTACAACATGACATTGCAATCATTGCAATCATTGGACATGATATCTGCCAGGCGTGTGGCACTGTGTGGCTTGTTGTCTCATTCATTCTTGTCTTCATTCTCTTCACGTCGACATCTTATGACATCTTGGACCACCGTTGTCAGGCGCCCGGACCAGTCGGTTTTGTCGAAGGCGCTAGGCGCATCAACGGCCGAGCGCTCAGAGAAGAAGAGCGCGCTGAGGTTGTCCGAGGCATAGACCAGCGCCTCGGCGACGGCGACGTAGCATGGACGTAGCTTGGAACGCCTCATGTCCTACGTACTCATGTGTCTACAAATATTAATGTTCTATCATGTTCTCGTGTTTCTACAGACTGGATCTCGCCGAGTGTCCAGTTGCCCGAAACAAGAAGATAAAAAGAAGCGCTGCACTGCTGAATCACTACTGAGTCACTGCTGTCCGCAACAGCTCCAGAAACTTACGGCTCAACAAACCCAGCACCAAAGGGCTACAACCACTACCTGCATCATTCCTAAGCGGTTCTCATTGTATTTTCAATGCTGGGCCAGGCGAGTCGTCACCCAACGTCACCCCTGCTTAGCTGGTGGCATTCAGCAACTGAGTATAGTGCAGTATAGGTGTAGGTATTCCACTGTTTTGTGTATAGTACAGTGCAGTGTAGTGCAATATGCTATGTGAAAAAATTGGTGTAGGTATTCCACACATCCTGTGTTTAATCCTGTGTTTCCGGCCGGTTGAACTGGAAGCTGGCCATCATGGAGGGCAGAGTAGGCAGGACTCAAGGCAAGACCAGCAGCTTTCTGAGAAATAGGTCTCAAAAAAACTAATCTTTGACGGTTTCTCATGTTTTCGCACGATTTCCTTCGCATATCCTTCGCTACATCTGTGCGTTTACAAATCTTCAGGTTTTGCGGCCGCATGCTGAGGTGATGGCGTCATTGATCTCAACACTTCTTTGTCTTTTTTCCATGTTTCCCAAGCCTGTCACAAGTCACAAACCAAGGCAAAACAGCTTGCGCCAGGCTGGCTGACCCTGACCTCTTTCCAAGATATTTCCAGATATTTACCTCACCCCAAACCTTACACCAATTTTTGCAATCTGGTCACAATACACAGCAATCCTCCGCGGTCTGCATGCCTTGCGAGACTTGGGCCCATCCGCAACTTCACGGTAGAGCGACACGTGGCATACATCGTCTGCAGACACCTCAAGGTGGATAGAGCACAAACCAAATTTAAGTTTGGTCCTCACAAACCCAGTTTGAAGACATTTGCAGACCATTTCAATTAAAAAAACATCACCAAGACAACAAGACGATAAAAGATCAAATATTCGTAAATACACCCACCACCACCCACCACCCACCACTACCCCACCACCACCCACCACCCACCCACCCACCACCACCACCCACCACCCCAACCCACCCACCACCCACAACCCACCATCCATCAGCCATCAGCCACCAGCCACCAGCCACCAGCCACCACCAGGCACCACACCAGCACCAGCACCAGCAGCACCAGCAGCACCAGCAGCACCAGCAGGCACCAGCAGCACCAGCAGCACCACCAGCACCAGCACCAGCACCAGCACCACCACCACCACCACCAGCAGCAGGAGCAGCAGCACCAGCACCAGCACCAGCAGCAGCACCAGCAGCAGCACCACCAGCACCATCAGCAGCAGCACCACCAGCACCACCTCCACCACCTCCACCACCTCCACCACCCTTGCCCCTGTTACCGGGCTGCTTTGTTTCAGCCTCCTGGAAATTGTCTTATGCTGAGGCCTGCTAAAAGATGTAACGAATGGTTTGGCGGTACCTCAACAAATGAGCCAAATCTTCGCCAGTGACCATGCGACAGTCCCGTCTGTCAGGGGCTCACATACCGCGGTTCTAGGGTGTTGAAAAGGGGAAGGTTGCCAAAGGCTTGCGGTTTGGCACGTTGTGCTGCGTCAGAATTCATGCATGTGTTCAATCATGATTCAGCTACCCAATCATTCACAATTCCATTCACTCATTCAATTCACTTATGCACCCTATCACTCTGTTATTCTAAACCTTCCTTTCGTCTTGTTTGTACTGTTCATTGGGTGCGGAATGAATGTGTTTTTTTGTGTAGAGGCTGCGGTCCTTCATTTTTCATTGGCGTTCATTGATTTTTTTCAATGGTGTTCATCCATTTCGAAGGTTCTCATCGATTTCGAAAGTTTTCATCGCTTTCGAAGGTTGTCATCGCTTTCGAAGGTTGTCATCGATTTCGAAGGTTGTCATCGATTTCGAAGGTTTGATTAATGTCGAAGGTGTTCATTGATTTTTCGATTGTTTTCATCGATTTGTCCATCGTCTTCATTGTTGTTTCCATTGTGTTCGGTGTTTTTCTGTGGACTTCATCAATTTTTCCATAATTTTCAACAATTTCTCCATGGATTTCATCTTGTTTCCATGTTTTTCATTGATTTGTTGATGAATTTCATCCATAAGTTGCCCATGCCAGAGACCTTCCTATAGGCCATTTATTTCTTATAGTCATTGCTCCTTTCCGAAACTTGGTACACAGAGCCCATGTGGACATGGCATTCCTTTTGTATCCTTTTGTATAAATTCCTCCTTCATGTAAGAGACGTCAAATATAACAAAATGATACAAAATGCCTTTTTCCGACCTTAATCGCTGCTTTCAGAGAAAGAAATGCTGCCTGGTCTTTGTACTTTCCGTCGTTTTCTGCACTTCATCTTCTCCCTCTACTCGGTCCACCCACATCTTTTCACCATCGGGCTTTGAGTTTCACGCCGTCTGCATGGTGAAGTCCAGGTGCCGGCCCACCTTGGCTTGCTGCACCTCAGAAATGAGTCAAGCACTCAGATTTCCATCGGGGTCCATGTCAGAGGGTGTCTCCTTGAGCATGATCTGCATAACTCAGTATTACCCATTCACCCAAAGAATCATCTAAAGAAAAAAAAACAAAGATCCAACGTGCAAACACCTGTGGACAGCTCATGTGATGCAAAAGGGCTGTCCCTTTAATTCTGCTCGTTCTTGCGACATACGTCTTTGTTTCCAACTCCTGTCCCAGAACGCCCGAGAATGCCCTTGTTGGAGCACCCTGGACATCATGCTGGAGCTGAGAGGGTAGGTTCGGTCGAAGATCATGTCTTCACGGTAGGAACGAAACCTGCCAGGAGCGGTGCCAGCCGCTTCGTTTCTACAGGCAGTTGTTTATGTTTGTACGACAAGTGCAAACGCACATACCATTATATACACTCCAGCTGGATGACGCTTCAAGCGCTGCTGTTTGAAGATCGTTTTTTCTTGGTTTCTTGGAAGCCAACAAACATCAACAAACATCAGGACACATCCTCCTTGGTGTGGCTAGGGTGCCTCTGCTGGATGCGAGTGATCACGCCTTCCCTGACATCCATGATCTCTTTGGCCTGAGCAAACAAATGTATGTTCAATGAGTATGTGGCATTTACATATATTTGAATGTAAGTACTAATATTTAAGTATTTTTATGTAGCAAACAAACTGTTCAATCATTTACATATATTTGAAGTTTTTTGAATGTAAGTATCTCTTGCTTAAAGTAATTTGAGCAGCCGTCCACGAGCGTTCACAATGAGGACGCTATGGCATATGCCTGTACAGTACCTATATGGCGACTGCCGCAAAAGGTGCCACTTTTGGTGGTGTGAAACGTCGCGCAGCGTAGTTTTGTATGGCAGGCGTGGCACTTCGTGATATTTGCACGTGTCCAATACAAAAGTCGTTTTGTGTGAAAGGCGCAATACCTTTGTGAGGTTTTAAGAAGATGACTTGCAGTTTTTGTAGGCGCAGAACTCTGGAGACTTCCATGGGTGTTTTGCGTGGCAGGCGCAGCCCTTTTTGGACGCCTCGTGTTGCGTGCTTTTTGCCAATCGCATTGGCAGGGCTGCGTCAACTGGTGACAGCGTGCAAATTGCCTGGCAGGCGTGGCACTTTGTGACATGCCTTGAAAGTTGACGAACGCCTCGTATCGATTTTGAGATAGCAGATTTTGCGTCTCATGGCAAAAATCGTAAGAAAACGTCGATTTTGTAGCTAAGACATGTGAAAATTTGATCAGGTTTGGTACGAAATGCTCACTTTGAGCCCGTTAAGCGGTGACAACATGCAAATTTCATGGCAAGCGTGGTACATCGTGAGAATGCTCTTTTTCGTGGCAGGCGCAGCATTTAGTCATGTTCCGCAGCACTTGTTGTAGCAGGCGCAATATTTGGCATTTGGCGACGTAGCAACTCGCCATTGCAGACTTGACCCTCCCCATTCTATATTCCATGCTACCTAATCCCACTCCCCACTCCACACTCCACGCCTTACACTCTACACGTTACGCCTTGCACTCCACTACACTCCACACTCCACACTTTACACTCCAGACTCCTCAATCCCCACTTTGCACTCTACACTCCACATGTCACACTTCACACTTTACACTCCCCACTCTACACTCCCCGCTTCCCACTCCACAGACTGCCCCCGCAAAAACAAGTCACACTCCACACTACTCACTTCAGACTCCACACTCTACACTCCACCACTAACACTCCATACCCCTCACATTCCACACTTTACACTCCACACTCCACAATCCCCAGTTTACACTTTACACTCTACAGTCCACAATCCCCAGTTTACACTTTACACTCTACAGTCCCCACTCCGCACTCCACACTCCTCACTCCGCACTTCAGACTCCAAACTCTACACTCCACATACACTCCCCTATCCCCACTCCACACTCTACACTCCACACCTTATACACCTTACACACTCTCTATTCCACAATCCGGACTCCACACTCTACACTCCACGCTCCATACCTTACACTCTACACTTTGCACTCCACACCCCACACTCTACACTCCATACTCTACATTTTACACTTTGCACTCCACACTCCGCATTCAACACACCACACATGACGCTCCAGACTCCACTCTTCACACCCTACACACGTCACTCCCCACTCAACACTCCTCTGGTTTTTACTCTACACTTCACACTCCACACTCTGCATTCCCCGGACTCCACACTCCACAGTCTATAATGGTACGGTAACACTGGAAGAATGTACAAGACTGTTGAAGTCTGCTTTTTCAATGGAAAAGGTTTTCACTGTTTCACCTGATTCGTTTTTCCATGAGGAAAACTTCTTCTCATGTTTCTCTTTCTGCAGTGGGAAATACCGAATTTTGTTCCGTCCCACGGCCCGCTCCGCTCCTTCTGCTTCCCGAGTTTGGTCAACTTCTCCGACATGAAACGTGCCGCCCAGAGCTGCTGCTCCTTCTGCCGCTTCGTCACCTCCTCACGTTTCCTGGCGTGCACGGCAGCGCACAGGGTGCACACACGTCGAAAAAAGACGATTTGGAAAGCCGCTGAAAGCCGTTGTCTTTCGACGTGCCGTTAACAAAAAGCTTAAAACTGATGTTCTTTCACGCTGTTTCTTGCTATTTATATGTTTCTTTCTGTCATGTTAAAGAGACAAACATCTTCCCGGTTACCAAAAATAATGACCAACATGTCGAATATGCGTCACTATGTATGAGTCAATGTTGAAATAAGATGAAATAAGGACGAGCGTTGGCTGATTTGGCAATCGCAACAGGTATGAGTCAGCTCTTGTCTCTCTGCAAATCTCTCTGTGATTGCCGTAGACCGCGGAATCAAACTTGGCCGAGGCTGCTTGTAGACCAGTTTAAACTTCATCCATCCCCGGCTGATATCAACCTTGAGCCGCGTCAAAGGCTTTCAATGACTTTCTGTGGGATAGGAATTTGTAAACTACGTAAATCTTTCAGCCGAAAAAAAAAAAAAAAACGATTCCCATTCCTTCGTCAATTTCAGTTTGAGAAACACCACCGAAAAACCAAGCCAGATGAGTTCTGCAGATTGCATCAAAACCAAGCCAGTGGAATCCCTGGAAAACCCTCTGGCCTTCATTGAAGCGTCTGAAACACTGTATGACATGTCACACATGTCACAATATTGCCAAACATATTGCCAAACACTGTCACGCATGGCCATGTCAATCCACATGTCGAACCTTCATCAACCGCATGGCCATATTCTTCACCAAAGCTTTTGTCTTGGAATATTCACCTCGAGGCAGGCTCCCGACGCAACGGGTTGTTTGAGGGTACAATCCAGGAATCTCCAGAGAGAAAACGGTACCAGAACCGTATCGCCAAACGTGAATTTTCAACCATTCAAGTTGCCCAAACAAATGCATAGGGATTGCAAGAACAGGGAGCGTTTCTACCAAATTCCAAGTGTGGAGTCTAAACACCACTTGACAGACTGAAATGTGTTGGAGTGTTTGCGTTTGCTCCGTTACAATATGATTCAAGTGGTGATTTCACAGACATTTCCAAGATCTTACTGGCTGAACTCCAATGACAAGTTGTGCTAAAATTGAACGTGACATGGTCCAAAGAATTCAGCAGCGTCAAAATTCAACAAACACGAAAGCAACACGCAGTGCCCGGATGTTTCGACTAATTCCAACTTGCTCTGCTCTCTGAGGTTTTTGGCCATAATAGGTGGACAAAGCGTCCCAAGCTTTCTGCAAGGCGCCCGAAACAGCGCGTCCAATGGAC